AAACATTGCTCAAATTATTTTATTTATAACCTTCGCTCAAATTACTTACTGAACCTTCACTTAAAGTATTTTTTATATAACTTACTAAACTTTCACTCAAAATATTTACTAAGCCTTCGCTCAAATTACTAATTAAACATTGCTCAAATTATTTTTTATAACCTTCACTCAAATTACTTACTGAAGCTTCACTTAAGGTATTTTTTATATAACTTGCTAAACTTTCGCTTAAAATATTTACTGAGCCTTTGCTCAAATTACTAATTAAACCTTGCTCAAATTATTTTATTTATAACCTTTGCTAAAATTACTTACTTAACCTTCACTTAAGGTATTTTTTATATAAATTATTATACTTTTGCTCAAAATATTTAAGCCTTCGCTCAAATTACTAATTAAACCTTGCTCAAATTATTTTTTTATAACCTTCACTCAAATTATTTACTGAACCTTCACTTAAAGTATTTTTTATATAATTTACTAGATTTTCGCTCAAAATATTTACTAAGCCTTTATTCAAATTACTAATTAAACCTTGCTCAAATTATTTTTTTATAACCTTTGCTCAAATTACTTACTGAAATCAAGATATTTTTTATATAACTTACTAAATCTTCGCTCAAAATATTTACTAAGCCTTGACTCAAATTACTAATTAAACCTTGCTTAAATTATTTTTTTATAACCTTTGCTCAAATTACTTACTGAACCTTCACTTAAGGTATTTTTTATATAACTTGCTAAACTTTTGCTTAAAATATTTATTGAGCCTTCATTCAAATTACTAATTAAACCTTGCTCAAATTATTTTATTTATAATCTTCGCTCAAATTACTTACTGAACCTTCACTTAAGGTATTTTTTATATAACTTATTATACTTTTGCTCAAAATATTTAAGCCTTCGCTCAAATTACTAATTAAACCTTGCTCAAATTATTTTTTTATAACCTTCACTCAAATTACTTACTGAACCTTCACTTAAGATATAATTTCCTATTTACATTTACTTGGACTATTTGTTAACTATGTGTCTTCACTTCTAGTTACTACCTTATGATATTTTATTTCCTATTTATGTTTACTTGTGGCATCTGTTAATTAACTATATGTGTCTTCGTCACTGGTTTCTAGCACGACTGCGTCACGCAGCTACCTTATGGTTTATAGGCATTTTTAGTAATGTACGTCTGCAAAATCTTGTAACTAATTGGACAATGCATTAAATTCAATGAAACATGAAATTCTGCACTTAAACTTCACAATATTGCATCACATAGCACTATATTTATATATATAGTAGGAGATTTGTTTAACCATAATGAATGTTCAACCTGTATTTTTTATTGCTTTAACAGGTTTTTGTCTCAATTAAAGTGAATGACAATCAATGCTTTTTTTTATTATTGTCCTTCGGAATTGAACTAACCAAGTATGGATTTACTGTTAAAGCCATTAACGGCTTATTCCAAAGCCGGTTTAGCTACAACAGAATAGGCTTTTTAAAGTCATAGCGATATGTAGCACTATTCACCATTTTTTACAAGGTATCCCCAAATCTCTGGGTCATAATGGCCGTAATGCGTCATGGTTAGGGTCGGGGTTAGGACTGGGTTAGAGTTAGCGGGAGCTATAGGCTGTAGTAAAATTATCAGCTGGGCACTTTTAATTTAATGAATGACTATTGTTTCATTAGTAAAATTTTTAGTATTCTTGGGGCAAAATTGATCAACTCGGCCCTTCCAACCAGAGTTCCGAAGCTTCTGACCTGGAATTTTTGGGATCTCCTGTAGGAGTCATAGAACCAGATTAGGTCATAGTTATTGAAGTCACGACTTGTGTTATAGCTAGAATATGACTTGAGCCATGACCCAAACTGTGATAGATTACTATACCAATACAGTACTGCAGTATTATTACATAGCTACAATAATACTGATTTTAAGGCAATATAGTTTTTTAACATCACTAAAAATCTTTAATAGAATGAAATTGTCTACAAAACTTTTCATCATATAATATCAGATTTTCATATGATATTTTTTTATTTAAACAATTTAACATATGGGATCTTTGCTAGAAAAATCACTCTTTGGGATTTTTTGATTGGACTAATTGGGAAAAGTTCAGACCAGAATGTCAATTCTTATTCATATGTAACCCAATCTTTTTACTTTACTGGTTTGACAGTTTATTTAATAAACTATCGAATAAATAAAGCAAAGGGTGATTTACACATGAATAAGAATTGGCATTATGGTCTAAACATTTCCAAATTAGCACAATCAGAAAATCCCTAAGGGTGATTTTCCTAGCAAAGATCCCATATATATTAATTAATTTCTTGTTTAAATTTTATTCGTATTGATTTAAAATTCTCTCAAGCACATAATTAATATATCAAAGCTCAATTTCTAATTTGTAGAAAGTAGTTTAACCAGTAAGTAGGTTTATTATCTCGATGAAAAAAAAAAGTTCGAACTCACCTTTTTTTTGTTCTGGTTGGCTATCCACATTTTGCGATATGAATCTTTAGCAAAATTACTGTAAGTAATACTTTAATTAATCATAATATATATATACGATCTCAGTAGCTAGCTAACCACATTGAGAGCACCATTAGTCTCAAGTTTAGAGATTATTTATTTTTTTAATTGATCTAAGTATTTAATATGGGCTGCTTAACATTAGTCTGTATAATTATCATCTGCCAAGAACATTTCTAATTATGCAGATTAGTATGACCAGATCAGTACGATATTGGGTGTGAAATACCCTATATTTAATATCTATTCCAGCGTTATGTATTATTAGGGTTAGCATTAGAAAATTATAGTAGATTGGTATGTTACGTTTTTTAAAGAGGTATTTTACTATATACATCTAAAATATTGTAAATTTCTTGTTCGCTTAAATTATAGTGTCTCATATCAATATAGTTATACTGTATACATTATATGAATTAAAATCAATATATAACTACTCTATATTGGAGTTGTCCAACATTTTCTAAATTAAAGGTGTTCTCAAGCATATAAATCAATTGATCAGGAATAGAATTTTAAATAGTCGGGGGCTGAAAAAATTGATCAAGTGAATTGCTGCTTCACAGAAAAAAGTCTGGAGGCACAGGCCATTTTTTTTTTATAGAGTTAATGCTGATTGGCCAACACTGCTTATTAGTAGAGTAAAAAAGAGGTTGTTCAAGCACTTTACTTTACATTATTGATCTTTAGCGAAATTATAATCGTTAAAAAAATTATTGTTATGTTCAAAACACTTGAAAATAACAAAAATTCCAGAAAATCAAAGAGCAAAAAAACTTGCTACCAATTGTTATTTCTTAACTTTTAATTATATTTATACTGTATTTATATTATTTTTTATTAAAAATTTTTAATATTCAAACACTTCATTATTTTTGGTGTTGGTTTTGTTCGCTTTGAATATTGTTGCTAAAACAACATACGAATATTCGTAAAGTCTGTAAAAGGCACTTGGAGTTACCGAAGTTGCATTTGTTTGTTGGATAGTTGCCTTTTTTTTTTGTTATGTTTTTGCTGAAGACATAGCGATAATAGAGTAAAGCAGGATGGTTTGTTCAAACAATGATTGCAATCATTATAACGACCAATTGTAATAATTGAGCATCATCTCAATAACTATTAGATCACATTGAGGGAGTTACTTGAGAACACCCTAACCCGTTCCTGGTTTAGCGCGACAATGTCGCGCAGCTACTTATTTTCTAACTCAGCAGATTTTTGGTAGTAAATGAATGCCATGTGTTCATCCTTTTCAACCCCACTTCCACTCTGATAGCAATAGCCAACTTGAGACATTCCGTCGGAATCACTTTTAGCGGATTTTTGGAAATAAATGAATGCCATACGTTCATCCCTTTCAACTCCAATTCCGTTTAGATAACAGATGCCAAGTGTAAATATTCCATTAATATTTCCCATCTCTGCAGATCTTTTAAAATAATTAAATGCCATATACTTATCCTTTTCAACCCCAATTCCATTTTCATAAAAATAACCAGTTGCAAACATTCCATCAGAACAACCCATGTCAGCAGATTTTTGGTAATGAATAAAGGCTTTGTGTTCATCCTTTTCAACTATAATTCCATTTTGATAAAAAAAACCGAGATTAAATGTTCCATTAGCATGTCCCATATCAGCTGATTTTCGATAATAGATCAATGCATTATGTTCATCTTTTTCAATTCCAATTCCTTCATGATAACATTTACCAACCATAAATGTTCCATTGGTATCGTCCATATTTGCAGCTTTTTGATAATAAATAAATGCTTTATGTTCATCCTTTTCAATTCCAATCCCATTTTGATAGAAGTTACCAAGTGCTAATATTCCATTAGCATTACCCATCTCTGCAGATTTTTGATAATAATAGAATGCTTTACGTTTATCCACTTTAACTCCATGTCCATTCACCAAGTTTGAATATTTCAACAGCATTATTTATCCAGTTAGATTCTCGATAATGTATGAAATTTATACACTTATGGTTTGTGACTTCGGATTTACGATAATGACTGAGATTGCATTTATATTTATCAGTTTCAATCACATCAACATTCGGAATTAGTAAGTTTTCACTGTTCTCTTGTTTATATTCATTACCTTTAATTATAATATCATAGATGTTAAAATATTGATTAGAAATAATGAAAAAAATATATTAAGGGGTACATTGCAGCTGAATAGCATGAAATTCATAGTAAAATTTATGTAGTATTATTATGTGAAAAATACTAATAGATCGGAATCCATTGCTGATTTTAATGATTTTACTACATTAGAACTGGATTAATTTGGTCCAAAATTCTTATTAACTCAAAAAGAAAGTTTATTTAGTAAAAGATACTTTTCATTGTGAGAGAAAGCCTACAATTCCTATTTTACTATGAACTTTATAATTTTTATGCCTTCCAATTGTAATTTCCTCTTGAATATTGAGAGTAATAAAAGTCTAGGTTGTAAACCAACCATTAGAATCTGTAACATTTCTAGGCGGTAAAAAATCAAGTTGTCTGCTGGCATATATTGCTTTAAGATCCATCTTGAAATTTGATGATTCCAATATATTAGGTATCGAAAACTTTACAAGTGATTCATTAGCTTCTTCTATTTGTGCAAAAAACTCAGTTGATTTATCATTTGAAAAATCAATCCACGAGCAAATGGTATCATATATTTCTTCAGATGTTGGCCTTTTGTCTGGCTGAGCATCCCAGCTTCTGCTAATAAATTCAATAACTAGCTTTGGCACATTTTCTGGAATATTTGGATGTAATCCATTAAGTATTTCACGTGCCAAATGGATGTCATGTGGAATATTATGATATGCAATGCGGCCTGATACTATTTCATACATCACGATCCCAAAAGAATATACATCAGATGCCATACTATATTTATTATTACGTAATACTTCAGGGGCTATATATGGCAAGATACCGTACACTGTATTATTATTTGATCCTGTATTAACTAATGTTGAAAGTCCTAAGTCAGCAATATATGCACTATGTAAACTATTTAATAGTATGTTTCCGCTATGTAAATCTCGGTGAATAAAACCTAGAGAATGAATTATCTTAAGATCTGAAGCAATGCAATGCAACAGTGTTAATTTCTTTTCCCATTCCATTTGTGATACCGAATAAAGGTTTTTACGTAAAGAATCCATCAATGCATATTCCATAACAAGAACATAATCTTCAGAGACATAATCTCTTGATATACCCAAGCATTTTAAAAAAGTCGGATGCTTAAGACCAATGTCGCAATATACCTTCAACTGATTTTATTTAAAAAAATTAATAGAAGTCATTGATTATTTGGCAGAAACTGTAAATAAAATTACCTCTCTTATAACAACGCCTTGATCCGTGAATTAATTTAAGTGCAACCTTTTGAATAACCATCTGACTTTTGTTTTCTCGATTAGCGACATATACTGTTGCAAATCCACCTTTCCTATTTCTTTAATATTTTCGAATTCTTTATAATCAATCCATGACAATTGATATTTATTTTCAATTAGCATTCTTTTCAAATCATCATCAATATTAGAGTTTTCATGTGCCCATTCATTTGTGGCTGAATAATATAATATTAAAATTTGAACCATATTCATTGTATAATAATTAGGAATAAAATTAGGAATTATAATGTCTAAGGATTGGAACCTTTTAACTGCCTAAATTTCCCATGATTCTAGTCTGAATTATTATATACTGTCAGACTCATTCAAGCGATTAAAGTTTAAAAAACAGTTTTTAAGCGGTTCCAATCCCTAATTATAGTTACAATAGAATTACCTGTTGTTAGTTTATTTGCCCTAAACAAAAGAATTTATTAAATAAGTATATGTATAGTAAAATAAATAAATAAATAAAATTTCAGCTTAGTTACTTTCGATACCAATTCTCGGCTTTTTGCAAATCTCTTGCCACCTCTATCCCATTTCTATACCAATCGCCGACTTGGCGCATTCCAGCAATAAACCCCATCTCAGCGGACTTATGATAATACATAAATGCCTTCAGTCCATCTTTTTCAACCCCAATTCCATTTAAGTAACAATAACCAACTTGATAAGTTCCGATAGAAATTCCCATTTCAGCCAACTTTTGAAAATGAACAAACGCCTTATGTTCATCCTTTTCGATACCAATTTCATTTAGATAACAATAGCCAACTTGGAATATTGCATGATAATTCCCATATCAGCGGCTTTTTTATAATTAACAAATGCTTTATGTCCATCTTTTTCAACTCCAAATCCATTTTCATAACAAAAACCAAGACAATATGCTCCATCTTTATTTCCCATATCAGCTGATTTTTGATAATAACTGAATGCTTTATATTTATCCATTTCGACGCCTTTTCCATATTGATAACAATCTCCAAGTCCGACCATTCCACTATCGCTTCCCATATCTGCAGATTTTTGCTAATAAATGAATGCTTTAAGCTCATCCTTTTCAACTGCAATTCCTTTTTCATAATAATAACCAAGAATACATAATCCATCAGAATCACCTATATTAGCAGATTTTTGAAAATAAATGAATGTTTTATGATCATCCTTTTCAACTCCGATTCCATTTCTATAACAACCACCAAGTTTACCCAATCCATAAGAACTACCCATATTGGCAGCCTTTTGATAATAAATGAATGCCTTATGTTCATCCTTTTAACACCAAATCCATTTTCATAACAATAACCAAGACAACATACTCCATCTTCATTTCCCATATTAGCTGATTCTTGATAATAAGTAAATGCTTTATGTTCATCCTTTTCGACTCCAATTCCATAATGATAGCAAGTACCAAGATTAAATAAACCATAAGAACTACCCATATTGGCAGATTTTTGACAATAAATGAATGCCTTACGCTCATCCTTTTCAGTTCCTATTCCATTTTGATAAAAAGATCCAAGACAACCCATTCCATCAGCATGACCAATATCAGAAGATTTTAAATAATAAACAAATGCCTTATATACATCCTTCTCAACTCCAATTCCTTTTTGATAACAATACCCAACATTAAATATTCCATCGGCATAACCCATATCAGCAGATTTTTGATAATAAATGAATGCTTTATGTTCATCCTTCTCAACTCCAATTCCATTTCGATAATAATATCCAACCCGAAACATTCCATCAGAATTTCCCATTTCAGCAGATTTTTGATACTGAATGAATGCCTTATTCTTATCCGTTTCAACTCCAATTCCATCATCATAACATGTACCAAGATAGTAAGTTCCATTAACACACCCCATATCTGCAGATTTTTGAAAATTGATGAATGCTTTATGTTCATTTTTTTGGATTCCAATTCCATAATAATAACAATGACCAACTTTAAATGTTCCATTAACATTATCCATCTCAGCAGACTTTTGATAATAAATGAATGCTTTACTTTCATCCTTTTCAGTTCCAATGCCATTTAGGTAACAATTTCCAAGATTGATCATTCCATCAGAATCATCCAAATCAGCAGATTTTTGATAATAAATGAATGCTTTATGTTCATCACTATCAACACCAATTCCATTTTCATAACAATAACCAACGTTATATGTACCAATAACATCCCCCATAGTAGAGTTATTACCCGGGTCACGGGTCAGAAATTGATCTAACCCGGGTCAAACGGGTCAAAGGTAAATTTTTAAATTACACAAATTATGTATCAATTATCGATATAAAAAACGTTATTATGCATTGGTTTAAAACGTATTAAATACGTAGAACGCATTTTTTTTTTTATTCCAGTATCTCTCTCTCCAAGTGCACATTTTTGTGCGGATAACAGTGTTTGAATCAATCTGAAATGCTAACACGATTTACTTCTTTATTTTAATTTATTTTGTTCTATTTTTTTTATTTAAGCGTACTTTATTTTTATTTATTTAATAATATACTGTATAAGTATAACAATTTTTTAAAATAATGTCACAATGTTCATTTTTATTTAAATCTTCAGGTGATTTTCTCATTCTTAATTCAAACGCATTGGTCGGTTCGAAAACGCAGTTTCTCCTCTTATTCTTAATGCAAATGCATTGGTTGGTTTGAATTTTAAAAATATATATTTAAATTGTATGTATCTCATTGTTATTTATTTTATTTTATTTTGTTATATTCTTCCTTGAATTTTAAGCAGTTCAATTTTAATGATTTATTTAGACCCGTAAGTGCTTCGTTCTTTTGATGAAACTATTTGCAATAACCGTCCGTTAAGTTTTACTAATTTCAATAAAATTTTTATTACCTAGTCAAACACATGTGAAGTAGGCCAAAGCTTTAGAGCAGACTTAAGAAACAAAATTGATTCAACAAATTGAGGGTTAAGGCATGTTCTTTTTTCAGTAATTGTAAGACCTGCTGATGAAAAAAGACGTTCTGATGGTACGGATGTGGCCGGGATACAAAGATACTTGCGAGCAAGTTTTGCAAGTATGGGATAATCGGATTTTCTTGATGCCCACCACTGAAGGATGTCTGTTTCGCTTGGAACCCTTGGCAGTAACAAATATGAATTAAATTCACGGTTAGTAATATTATTATCATCTTGATCTGAATTCTCTTGAAAACAACTAGCCGCAGGATTGGAAAAAATATCTTCGTTATGCACTATATTAGACGTTGAATCTGATAAATTGTCTGCTTCATAATAATTTGTAGCTAATTCAAGATATTCTATATGTGCTTCTGAAATGGTCTGTTGTTTCTCATCCTCTGTAAATATTTGCATATCTTTAGTTCGTGGATCAAAAAAGGCGGCAAGTCGAATCGGTTTTGTTGGTTCTGAAAATCTTTCCTGCAATGATTCACGAAGCGACCTCCAAACCTCCGAATATCAGCATTACTTAATATTTCATAATCAAGTTTTACTTTAATATAATTAATAGCAAACCATGCTTGAGAAAGTGTTGGATACTGCGAACCAGACAATTTTTTTGAAATAACCTCGTAAGGATACAATAATTTGACTAATTCATTTACTTTATCCCATTCATCTGACGACAACTCTTTTTCCTCATAACTTCTTAGTGAACTATTATCGTTATTTTCAACCAAAATTGACTTGTACCTATACATTGCCGGTTTAAGAATCGTTAATCGTTTTAATAAATAAAACGTAGAATTCCAAACGTCACGAACTACAGAAAGAAAGTTATTCCAGTCGTCCATCTCCATTTGAGCTTCTAAAAGAAACTGCTTTTGCTTCGGACTTCCGCTAAAATGCGATATGACATCTTTAAATCGTTTTATTAGGTCAGTAATTTCGGAACAATCTTTTAATGCATCGTTTATTGCAAGCTGTAAAGTATGCCCAAAACAATGAATTCTGAAAAGGCTATGCTTTCGTTCTAACTTTTCTAAACATAACTTGATATTTGCTCCGTTATCAACTGTACCACTAACAGTTATATGTTTGAGTTGAAGATTATCTAAAATTTCCATGATTTTACTTAAAAGGTATTCAGAGGTATAAGGATATGGGAGATACGAGATATTACCAGTAATTTCTTTTACTTGAAAACTACTATTAATCCAATGAAGGGTAAGTCCAATATATGGATCCCCATTATTCGATGTCCACATATCCGCGGTAAATGAAACATAACTAATTTCGGCACTATCATGTGCATACTCACGAAGGTTTTGCAAAATTTTATCCTCAGAATTAATAAGGATTTCTTTTAAATGATCATTACTCAGAACATTAGCCTGAGCGTCGAGTCCTTCGATTATTCTTTTAAACGCTCGTGATTGAGTAATTGAAAACGGTTGAAGTTCTTCGACTATAAAAGCAGCTACGTTATTATCGAGATTTTTTTGTTTGGGGTTATTCAATGCATATTTTTTTACTTTGTTAAATGACTGCACTATCGTTGATTGTGAAGATTCAGGAATTACAGAAAATTCACAGCTATTATTACCCTTTGCTACAACAACCTTTACTCGACCACCTTCCACCATAGCTCGTAAAATATGATGCTTATTTCTCAAATGTCGCCATAAATTAGAGGTAGAACCATCTTTTATATATTTTGTTTGCGGAATACATATTTTATGACGACAAACCCAATACTCTAAATTATTAATTAATCTTGTCTCATAAAATTCTTTAACAGGACTACCGCCCGGCTTTTCAATCTTTTTTCGTTTTTTTTTAACTAACGATTGCCCACCAGTTTGTGATAATGTAGAAGACTGAAATGAATCTTCATTATTATCATTACTATCCGTATTGTTAGATTCTGACCTATCCAAATCAACACCACCAGGTTCATCCAAATCAGAATACTCAGGCTCATCCAAATCAGAATATCCAGGCTCGCCCAAATCAATATTCTCAGGCTCATACAAATCAATATCCTCAGACTCTACCGCCATATTATCATCGCTCATCATTCTGTAGAATAAAACCAATCTTTTTAATTACTTGTTCACAATGAACATGATGAATAACCATGTAATAGTACTTACAATTTATATTGATATTAGATTCGGTAGTTGTTGTTTTAAGGTTAATGATATTCAACTTGACAGATAAAATTCATCAATCTAGTAAGTATTTATAAGTGAAATTTGGGCGTTAGAAACTTGAAATAATTATTAATGCAATTCTATATATATACATACGGCGCAAGAAATCTAAAATCATCCATC